AACGATGTACAAGGGTTTTTAAAGGGATTTACAATATATTTTAAATGGGTTTTAGAAGATTTGTAATGATTTTAAAGGGTTTTAGAAGCTTACAAAGGTTTTTGAATGGTTTTTGAAGGATTTACAATGGGTTTTAAAAGATTTTATAAGTTTATACCGGTTTTTTAAGGATTTACAAGGATTTTACAAGATTTTCAATTCATTTTATAAAATTTAGAAGGATTTTTAAAGGGGTTTTAAAAGGATTTACAAGTGTTTTAAAGGCATTTGTAAGGATTTAAAAATAGTTTTAAAGGATTTACAAAGATTTTCAAAGATATTTACAAAGATTTAATTTTTTTTAAGGATTTACACGGGGGTTTAAAGGGTTTTAGAAGTTTACAAAAGTTTTTTAAAGGGTTTACAAAAGTTTTTTAAAGGGCATTACAAGGACTTTAAAATGGGTTTTAAGGATTTACAAAGGTTTTTAAAGGGTTTTAAAAGTTTACAAAAGTTTTTATTAAAGGATTTACCACGGTTATAGAGGGTTTAAAGGGATTTACAAGTGTTTATAAATGTTATAAAATTATTTACAAAGGTTTTAAAAGGTTTACCAAAGTTTTGAAACTGGTTTTGGATGATTTTAAAATACTTACAAGGTTTATTAAAGGTTTATTAATGGTTTTAAAAATATTTACAAGGTTTTTTAAAAGGTTTTTTAAGGAATTACGGAAAAAATTTGGCGGGAAATTTTTTGTCTGAAACTTTTTGTCGGAAAATTTCGGCGGGTAAATTTTTATCAGAAATTTTTGGCGGGAAATTTTTCGGAAGGAATATTCTTTTTGTTGAAAAGAATATTTCTTTCTTCATCATTAGTAATATTAAAAAGGTAATTTAATAATTTTGTACATTGAAGACGGTATTTTTGAAAATTGACACCTAGAGAGGGTACTTGTAGAAAATAATATCATAAGAAGTTATTATGATATCAAAATTCAAGGGCAAATTCCCCTTTTATTTAATATGTTGTATGTTGTGTAGTATTAGTTTTTATTTTGGCATTGAATTTTGATATCATAATCAATAAAAGTTACAAATTATAAGGTCTGATTTGTAGTTTAAATTAAAATTAATTAGTACAAAGGTTTATCAGTGTAGGGGTGATTTTGTTTTATCCGGAGGGGTTAGATGTGAAATGTTAGTTATACTTACAAATGAAATTGTTGGAAAATCAAAAGTTTTTATTTTTTTTCTAAAAGTTAATATAATTTTCATAATTCATAACATAATTATTGTGTAGTATTATGGTGGTTAAAATGTAGAGAATTTTTGAGAAATGTCCCTTTTGGTCTACCCCTTTTTAAAAATACCCCTTTTCCATTTATTTTTAAAAATACCCTTTTTCAAATATAAAAAATATAAACTTTTATATGGTTTCTAAGGTACATCAAGATCATCATTACTACTGCGAGACTAAATCCAAATATTTATAAGGTTTTAAAAAGTAATAAACAACATTTATAAGGTTTTTATAAGGTTTTTAAAAGGTTTACATGGTTTTTATAAGGTTTTTCTAGGGTTTTTAAATTATTTTTAAAAGATATTTATACGGTATTTATGAAATATATATGTAAATTTACACACATATAAAGATAATTTGTGTCTTTAAATATAAGCTTTCACATAGTTTTTGATAAATTTCAAAATTTATAGTGATTTTTTTTGATAAAACTAGAAAGAGGGGTATTTTTAAAAGAGAAAAATATTAATACTGCCATGTACAGTGACCAAACTCTTATGAAATGCCATTTCTATAAATCCCTTCTCCCGCCTGCCACAAGAGGTATGTAAAAAGATCAACATATCCCTGGATGAAATGGGCTGCTCTCTCTTATGACTGATCAATTTTTTTTTTCATTATCTCTTTCTCTTTTTCATCTTCTTTTTCTTCTTCCAACGGACAAACTCCGGCGGACCAAATCCGGCGGACGAACTCCGACAGACCAGATTCGACATACCAGATTCGACAGACCAGATTCGACAGACCAGATCCGACGGACCAGTTTCGACAGACCAGATCCAGCGGACCATAGCAATTCTGGTCCAGATTCGGCAGACCAGATTCGACGTACCAGTTCCGACCAACCATAACTCCAGCGGACGAGTTATGGCAGACCACAGTCGGTTCTGATGAACTATAACCAGTTCAAGCAAACCAGATTCGACGGACCAGTTTCGACAAATCAGGAAGACGAGTACCGATAGACCAGATCTAGCGGACGAGTTCAGGCGGACCATAGTCAGTTACTGGCAGACCATAGACCAGATATATTTTTCGGCGATGGACAATACATTTTTCTGTAGATGGACAAGATTCGGCAGATCAGATGTAATGGACTAGATTTTGTGGACGAGATTTTTTTTTTTTTGTCTATCGTTTTTTTGTCTCTGCTTCTTCGCCACCCACAACTTCCACAAAATCTCTCTATTTGTCCTTCATTAGCACCCACCAATTTGTACAGATCTGGTTTACATTGTGCCCATAAATAAATCAAAAGTTATTTGTGTCATTCTATAGAACGTCCACAGTGGACATGCATCGGAGTTAGAGGACACGCATCAGAATTGTCTCTTGAATTCTGTCAAAGTGAGTTTTCGATGGACCACATATATTTTGTCCATCATATATTACTTACTCGTCCGTTATTTTTGATATGGTCCATTATCCACAGGATATTAGGCTATAACCCATCAATTAATGGTTATTGCTGCCAACAGAAAAAGCAAAATTCCACTCTCCAATGCCAAGGGCAAAATCGTAATTGTAACTCTTTTTGTGGCATGATTTGAAAGAAGTTTTTGTTAATGGCAGTTTTAGAAAATTGAGTTTCCAAACTGGCATTCTAAACAAAATTCCCTTTTTAAAAAGTGGTATTGGAAAAAAGATATTTTTGAAATTCCACCTAAAATGTAAGGAGAAAATATAAATTATTTAGCCCGTGATACAACGTAGATTAAAAACTTATATTTGGTTTAGATCACATTTTCATTAGTTCAACATTTTTTTATAATTTATACAAAAATAAGGATTCTTTAACCTGTTCTAATATATATGATCTAGGTTTGAACCTGCAGTACACTGTAGAATAATGTTTGTATTTTACAATTTTTATATTAGTGAAGGGTATGATATGTTGGTTTATCCGAAATACTAATTTATTATAAAAATGTGCTTTTAGGTTTTTTTCAAACAGAAAAAACCATTTAAACCTTTTTAATTGTATAAAAAAAATTATGAATATTATTTCAACACTTATAATTATTTCTAAGTTATTTATAAATTATATATCATAATACTTGTTATTTAATAATTGAAAAATTATTTTGGAGAAAATTTTAATTTATGTATCATAATACTTATAATTTAATTTAATAGCAAATTTTAAAATTATTTATTTATGTTATAATTGAAAGGTAAAACAATAAAATACGAAACTAACTTATTATTATTAATATTATTATTATTATTAAACACCTCTAAACACACACAAAAAAAAGTCATTGTGGAGTTTAATGAGCGACCACACCAAAGTCCAAACACATACTTTTCTTCTCTCCTCCTCTCTTAATATTTTAAAGCTCAAACACCAAACACATCAATTTAAAGCCCACCAATAATCTTAATCTTTTTGTTTTTGTCACTGATCGAACGTGAGACGTGAGGATCCGTTTTTTAAAAACGGGTGACGTGCGGGTCAATTTTCAATTGAATCAAAATTTTGATTTTAATTGAGACACTTACTTAAATTACCCTTCCTAATTTCAATAAAACTTCTCTTTTCTCAATAATTGATAGAAAAATTCCATAAAAATTTTCCGTCTAATTTTAATTTGGAAGTTTAATACCCAATGTTATTTGGTTGGAAATAAAATGCATGGTTTATTAATATGTTGTCTATTAATACATCAAGTATATAAAAATTGTCGAATCGAAGAAACCGCTTAACAAACGATAATCAAAATGACAAAATCACTAAACCGGAGTTAATAGAATTATACTAAACTTAGGGTTTATCGATCCCAATTTGATTTGGGGATAGCAAAGGACAATGCAGTCTTTGGATAACCTCAAATTACCCGTGTGTTTAGGGATTAGTGATTTCGTCAACCTCGGTTTAGTGATTCCGTCAATCCGATTAAGCGGTTTATTCGATTCGACAATTTTTATATACTTAATGTATTTATAGCCCAAAATTTAATAAACCATGCATTTTATTTCCAACCAAATAATATTGGGTATTAAACTTCTAAATTAAAATGAGATGGGAAATTTTTATGGAAGTTTCCCAATAATTGATAGGTAATTAGGGAAATTTTGGCCATAATTTTGAAATGTTAAATGTATACTTCTCTTTTAATAAGAGGATAAGAGGATATGTAGATGGTCGACTTGTTCCTGTAATTCTTCCGACTCGTCACGTTGCCACTTAACATATAATTTCAACGAATCTCAAGCTGACGTTTTAAAAAGATAATAGCAAGTCAAATAGACATGTAGTCTAATAAAGTTCTTGTGTTAACTTATCTTGTAATAAGTTCTTGTGTTAAATTTATACACATGTAATTCTTCCGACTTGTTCCTGTAATTCTTCCGACTCGGCACGTTGCCACTTAACATATAATTTCAACAACTCTTGACATTTTGTTTAACGATTTCAAGCTGAAGTTTTAAAAAGATAGACAAGTGTGTATATAGTCTAATAAAGTTCTTGTGTTAGAATTTGTCGTCATAAATAAATTATTAACAATGTAAGAACTTGTCTCCAAGGATAAATTATATACTATAGTCTTAGCAAAACAAATAAATTATATACTATAGTTTGTAGTCTTGAGGAAAGAACGTGGTCGATCAAATTGACTAGGAATATATATACGACGTCTCATTATATGATGTGTTGCAAATCAGTCGTATAAAATTCAATCTAACAAAAAAATTTTCCAAAAGCAAAAACAAAATCACGATGGCGACATCTTTTGACTCTTCTGACGTCAAAGCAGATGTGTTTATCAATTTCCGAGGAGCTGAGCTGCGTACTACCTTTATCTCCCATCTCTATACAAGATTGCGCCGCAATGGGATCAACGCTTTTATAGACTCTGATGAACACGCTGGCCAAAAACTCCAAAACCTTTTCCAAAGGATTGAGGATTCGAAGATCGCGCTGGCGGTTTTATCGAGTAGGTACACGGAGTCACATTGGTGTTTGCAGGAGCTAGTTAAGATGATGGAATGTAGTATGAACAATTTATTGGTCATTCCAATCTTCTACAAGCTGGAGATATCCACGGTGGCAGAGCTTAAAGGAGACTTTGGTCTACATATGTGGAATCTCTGGAGGTTGCCCAGTCGCGGTCGTGATCGAGACAACCGTATTTTTAAATGGAGTGAGGCTTTGAAGGATGTTCTCACCAGAAAGGCCTTGGTATTGCCAGCAACCGGGTATGGATTAGTTTTGATGTTACTTTCGACTTTTCATAGGTAGAATCAAAATGAACGAGTACGCTAGTTCGACGTAGAATTATTCTTAGGAGAGATACTAGCTAGAGCATGCCCATTGTTGAAAACACTTACCATCTCCATCTGATAGGTCCCAATCAAAAGCTTATAAAAACAATAGGCTTTAAACATTTTCCATATATTTTATCATAAGATGTTATGAGTATTTATACAAATTAAGGATGAGCTATCTAGAACCTAGAATATAGGAGATATACATGAATCAAAGATTTTACATAATCTACTCAAACTACTAACAATAATAAGATCACTTATTATATTCTCATTCTTTTTAACCCTATCTTAACTGACTCCGGTTTACTTCGGTTATGCTCTCATCACCATCGCATAAATTTGGATTGGTGTCCTAACATAATTTTAATTATGAAATATTATAATTTTAAGAAGTAGATAGAAAATATTCCATGTTAGAAGGAAATATTCTGTGTTAGAAGAAATATTTAAGAGAATTTTGAGAAATACCACTTTTGGTGTATTCCTTTTCAAAAATACCGTCTTTATTTATTCATTTTCAAAAATATCTCTGTTTAAATATGAAAAAATATAAAGTTTTATATTGTTTATAAATTACTTCTATATAATAACTATTACTTGGAGATTGGATACAAATATTTTATAATTTTTAAAAGGTTTTAAATCGTTTTTACAAGTTTTATTAGGTTTTAAAATGTTTTTTAAAAGATTTTATAAGGTTCTTAAAAGGTTTTTTAAAGTTAATTTTTACGCTATTTATGAAAGATATATAAAATTTTATACATATATAAAGGTAATTTGTGTGTATATTTATAAGTTTACACACATATTTGGATAAATTTGAACATTTTTAGTGGTTTTTTGGATAAAGTTTGAAATGGGGTATTTTTTAAAACTGATATTTGAAAAAGAGTATGTTTTAAATTCTCCCAATAATTAACTAGAAGATCTTTTACAGGAAAAAAAAATTATTTGCAAGTATTATACACTAAAAGGGTGTATTCGACCTTCAATTTTCTATTTTAAATAAAATAATTAAATTGAAATTATGTGAATATTGAGAAATTGTTAAGATTTATTATCAAAAAATTTCAAATCCCATCTAGTGGAAAAATTAGAAAAAATTCATATCATAAAAGGCTTAGAAAATTTTCATTTAAACTTAAAGATAAGAAATCGCAGATTATAATTAATTTTTAAAAATAATCACATATAGTTAATTTTATTCTTTTTGTCTTGCAGTGAGGAAGACGATTTCTTGACTACGATCGTCCAACATGTTAGAAATGCCCTAACCCAACTTAAGGTAGGGGGAGGAGGAGGAGGAAACCCTAGGCCCCAAAGGTGTCTTAACAGAGCACCGATTGCAAACAATAATGAATCAGAGGATCAACGCCTTAAGCAATTGGAAGTAAAGTTAGATGTGGAGTGCAATGATAAAGAAACTCGTATTGTTGGAATCGTCGGGATGCCTGGAATCGGCAAAACCTATCTGGCCAAGAAACTCTTCGACAAGCTTGAGAAGAAGATCAGCCATTGTGTGTTGATCGAGTTCGACCGTGAGAAGACACAGCAGCAAGGATCAGAGTGGCTACAGAAGAAACTTGTGGAAGGTTTACTTGATGATATTCAAAATTGCACTGATACAAATGCACCTGAGGCCTTGAAAGATAGCTTAATGGACAAGAAAGTCGCAATTGTGTTAGATAACGTGAGTGACAAGAAACAGATCGAGCTTGTGGGAATTTGCGACTGGATTAATAAGGGGAGCAGGATAGTCATCACTACATCGGACAAGTCATTGATCGAGGGACTAATCTATGATCTTTTTGAAGTCCCTGGGTTGAATGAGAGAGACGGCTTAAAGATCTTTAGGGATCAAGTCTGTTGTACTCAAGAAGAAAATTTCATGGAGCTGTCTAGAAAGTTTGTGAATTATGCAGGTGGAAACCCATTAGCTCTCGAGGAATTTGGTAAAGAGCTTTCCGGGAAAGACGAGGTTCACTGGGAAACAAGACTTGGAACTTTGGCGCAGTGTTCCAATCCAAAGATTAGAGAGAAGTTAGGAATCTGTTACGATGAACTAAACGAGCAGCAGAAGAATGCGTTTCTTGATATAGCTTATTTCTTTAGATCACAAGATGAGAGTTACGTTAGAAGCTTACTTGATTCTTATGACTTAGAATCCGCGGAATTAGGACAGGAATTTAGAGATCTTTCACACAAATTCTTGATTGGCGTGTGTGATGGCCGAGTTGAGATGCATAATCTATTGTTTACCATGGCTAAGGAGATTGTTGAAGCTACTGCAGAGAAATCAAGACTGTTGCTGTCGAGTTGTGCAGAAATTACTAATGCGTTGGGACTCAAAAAGGTGAGATAAAAATAATTTAAATTTATACAAACGCAGACTTATATATACATATATGAAATTTAATACTTCTTACTTGATCAGGACGGAAAAGACAAGGTTAGAGGAATCATCATAGACATGTCAAACATGGAGGAAATGCCCTTGAAGAAAAATGCTCTTGTTGGTATGAGCTGTCTCCGGTACGTAAAGGTGTACAATTCTCTTTGTCCTACACACTCTGAAACTGAGTGCAAGTTAAACTTACCTGATGGACTTGAGTTTCCAAAAGATAATACTGTGAGATGTCTTCATTGGGTGAAATTCCCGGGGAAAGAACTTCCATCAGACTTTGAACCCGCATGTCTCATCGATCTTAGTTTACCTTACAGTAATATTACCACTGTATGGAGCTGTTCTAAGGTTTGTATTTTCCAGTCAATTTAAACTAATTGGGCTTGTATATATACATCGTGTATGGGACTTATGGTGTTCAATTCTTTCTGGTTGTCACAGGGTGCACCTAACCTGAAATGGGTTGATCTCAGCTACTCGAGTAACTTGAACTCCTTGTCGGGTTTATTAAACGCACCAAATCTTCTGAGATTGAACCTTGAAGGATGCACTAGTTTAAAGGAGTTACCTGACGAGATGAAAGATTTGACGAATCTTGTTATCCTGAACTTAAGAGGATGCACAAGCCTCTTGTCTTTACCAAAGATCACTATGGATTCCCTAAAGACTCTTATTCTCAGCGGCTGCTCAAACTTCCAGACATTTGAGGTGATCTCCGAACATTTAGAAACTTTGTACTTAAACGGCACATCCATAAATGGACTTCCTTCAGCCATTAGTAATCTCCATAGTCTTATCTTGTTGAATTTAAAAGATTGCAAAAATCTTGCTACACTTCCTGATAGTCTTGGGGAGCTTAAATCTCTTCAAGAACTCAAACTCTCTCGCTGTTTAGAGCTCACAAGTTTTCCTGATGTCAAGGCTAAAATGGAGAGTTTGCGGGTTTTACTGCTTGATGGAACATCAATAGCAGAGATGCCAAGCAGTATTTTTGATCTATATTTGTTGCGACGTCTATGCTTAAGCAGGAATGATAATATCCGCACCCTTAAATTTGATATGAGTCAAATGTTCCATCTGAAGTGGCTTGAGTTAAAGTATTGTAAGAATCTCACATCTCTTCCCTTACTTCCACCGAATCTTCACTGTTTAAATGCACACGGTTGTACTTCGCTAAGAACAGTCGCTAGTCCACTAGCTCTTCCTATGCCGAATGAGCAGATTCATTCCACTTTCATTTTCACTAACTGCCACGAAATGGAACAAGACTCAAAGAACGCAATCATATCTTACATTCAGAAGAAAAGCGAGTTGATATCAGCTGACCGATATAATCAGGTATATATTAATTCTTTGTGTTCTCAAGTTCCTTATTATCTATCCTCAAACATCCGTATCTAATGATGTTCCTTTGGCATTACTTTAATTTTTTCAGGATTTTGTTTTCAAATCCTTGATTGGTGCTTGCTTTCCGGGATGTGAATTACCTGCATGGTTTGACCACCAAGCATTAGGATCAGTCTTGACACTGGAGCTTCCTCAAGATTGCAATGCAGGTAGAAATGTGGGGATAGCTGTATGTACTGTAATCTCGTTTAAGGAGTACAGAGAGCAAAAAAATAGTCTTCAAGTTACGTGCAGCTGTGAGTTCACTAATTTATCCATGAGCCCGGAAAGTTTCGTTGTTGGTGGTTGGTCCAAACCAGAGGATGAGCCACATACGTTCGAGGCAGACCATATCTTCATTGGCTACACAAGTTTTTATAATATCAAGAAAAATCAACAGTTTCCATCAGCAACTGAAGTTTCACTTAGATTTCAAGTGACAAATGGTACAAGCGAGGTCTCAACATGCAAGGTGATAAAGTGTGGCTTCTCTTTGGTGTATGAGCCTGATGAAACTGAGAGCATATCTTGGGAGGCAAATCCAGGGATAGAGGACCATAGAAGCACTTATACAGAAGATAATGGTTGCCCTAGTGTAACTCCAACAACGGCCAACTCTTACATGGGGTATACCTTCATCAATTACTTTAGAAAACAACAATGATGTGAAAACTTTATGGCTGCTTCTTCGTCATACTCTTATTCTTCCTTCTTTTTTTATCATCTTCCCCACATTCCTCTTCATACTCTCAGCTTTCTTTTATGTAAAAGATTAATCATCATCTGGTTAAAAACAGAGTAAAATTTAAAACTTACTAACCTTAACCAAACATGTATCTCCATAAGCCAATGAACTAACTACCCGAACCAAAAGGTAGAGACGACGTCGTTACATAGAACGAATTTGCCCATAATTTTGTAAATATCCATTATATATGTAATGTATTTAAGATTGAAAACTAATTAACTGGTCAAAAAATTATTTAAAAAATATCATAGTAGTTTGCTATATTATCAAAGAACTTAAAAAATATCATATTAGTGAGACAAGGTATCATAATCAAAGAAAGGAATAAAGAAAAAATCAATCTCACATGGAACATTAACACAATATGGTTGTTTTTTTTTTGAAAAAAAACATTCAAGGTTTATATTTTACATAAATATGATTTAACGGGTTTGAGTTTTATGTTTTTCTTACGGGTTATCTTACGGGTTAACATAACAAAAAAAAATAACAAATATAACTTAAACATAATTTTTTTGGTCCCGCCAGTTACAAAACAATATCCCACGAGTTAAGTAATAAAAATAACAATCAAAAATAACACAATATGGTTGTTGCATATAGAAAACAGAACTAGATTGCAATGTTCTGTAAGCAGCCATGACTTTAACAGTGCTTTGTCGAGTATCATCGTTAAACCGAAGCGATCGCCATTGATACCCAAGTATCTTAAACATCTCATTCTTATCTTCTCCATCTCTAGTCATTACTTCCATATACCTTTTTTCTAACCATCTCTCGGTTTCTCCCCATGAATCTCTACTCTACATAAGATTAAATCATTATAAACACTCTCCTAAATCAAGAAACAAAAACTAAGGTTTCAAGAAACAAAAACAGAGGTTTCAAGAAACAAAAACAGAGGTATCAAGAAACAAAAACAGAGGTTTCAAGAAACAAAAACAGAGGTTTCAAGAAACAAAAACAGAGGTTTCAAGAAACAAAAACAGAGGTTTCAAGAATCTGATTTTAACTCACAGGGAGAGAAGAAGGATGAGCGACAACTGAAACGACGCCGTTTCCATTAACAGAGACAGCTCGTGAAACAGTGTGGCCTCCGTCGTGAGGATCCCACCATTCCGGCGAGTAAAACCAGTCTCCTTCGTCGTGTCCTCTGCAGAAATGGCGTACACATGACTCGATGGTGCTGCTTAGCCTTCTCCTACGCCGTGTTGTCAACGAGAAACGATGAATTGAATTCATTTGTGAAGAAGGACCAGAAGACCTCGAGATCGCCGGTAAATTTAAAGTGTGTCGGTTTGGGACTTCGGCGGCGTTTCTAGTTACTGTAAATGAAACCCTTAGAAAGTTTGGTTAACTTAAACCGAACCGAACTGAACCAAAATTTGGTTGTTCGGTTTGGTTTTGGTGGTTGGTCAGTAACCGATGGGTAATCTGTGAAATTTAGTTTGGTTAACTGAGAATTTTTTTATTAGTTTGATTCTGTTTAGCTGCTAGGTTAGACCACCTCCAAGAAGGAGTTTTAAAGAAAGACTCTAAAACTAAATATAAATCAAAATGAATTCAAAAATGCTCAACTTGTTTAAGACAAGCTCTAAAATTAGAGACTTTAGCTACTCTTTTTTATGAAGTTCACGATGTGTCAATTTGTAATTAGTTTAAAGTATATAAACTAATAAAATTTAAATAAAATGATTAAATTAAAAAAAAAAAAACTCTCTTGGTGTTTAAAAACATTTTGAGGATGTATCAGCCGGTTGTAGTACAAGTTAGCGGATTGGCTTTCTGTGTCTAGGATTATTTATTTTTAACTTTTATTTTTGACCGAAATAAAACCTAGACTTAATGTCGACATATATATGTAAATTTTTTAATGAGAAGAGCTAAAACTAGTTTTGATAAGCATATGTGAGTCAAAGGTTTCACACGTCTACTAAGAAGTATATAGTCTAGAGTTGTAGCCATTTTAACAATTGAATCTTCGCATATGGCTGTTACTAAGGTTGTGTGAAACTAGTCGCAGATGGTACAACAGATGAAGGCTGACTCGAAAATATATAGGGATTTTCAAGTGCAGCAAGGTCTTATAAAATAAGCATGTATAGTGAAAACTTGGATAGAGAAAGATAGTTTGGAGTTGAAAGATAACATCAAGTATAAAGAGAGAAATCTAGAACTAGAGCAGAGTATGTTAAATTTTGTTATGTTTAACTCAGTGATGTGCTAAAAGAGAGGTTGATGTGGCCTATGTGTGTTATCGTTGAGTATTATGTACTCTGAAAATTTTGAAACCTTACCAATGGTGCAGTGGAACTGGTTCGGCTCTAACGCAATGATGGATTATGAAGCTATGAAGAGTCAATTCGAGTTTCTTTAGAGAAAGAAATCTAACTAAAACGTTATTAAAAATAGAATCTTGTTTGGGTTTGCCTAAACACAATAAAATAAGCAAGTAAATGAGGTTGCAAGCTAGCTAAAATCGTTGGGCAATGGGGATATCCTAAGAAACATCCCCGGCTCAAAAATATTTAGAGCCCTTGGGCAAAAAATATATTTTTGGACCCTTAACATAATATTTACACTAAATCTTTAGTATATTTGGGCCGATTTATGCATTAAAAAAATTGTTTGGGCCCTTTGAATATTTTTTCTAAAAAATGGACTCTAACATATGTTTAAATTTTAAGAATTTGGACTATATTTTAACACTTTTAAAATAAAATGGACCCTTACACATAAGAGAATTTTTGAAATTGGTGATCGTCCCATGGGCCACTGCACTTCTGTCCAGCCCACTTGAGCCGGGACTACAAAGGTATCAAGGTTCCAAGAAAATCAAGTCATAGATGATATGGTTACAATTATCTTGATCTACGTTCTTAATCATACTTCGTTTCACAGCTGACAGAGGCAACGGCGCATGTTGCCTAGTTGGTTAAGCTAGTTCGTGATCTGCGTGTGGATTTTTTTTTTGCTCCAAATCGATTACATTATGAAGAGTTCGAGCCTCACCTACTGCAAAGTGCACCCACTAATATTTCTTCCTAGGTCCGCCCCAAGTGTCGTGTTGTTGTCCCGGGGCCATTATGACTGTGGTATGTATCGTGCTTTAGTGAGAGGAGTGCAGCACTCGGGTTGACGATCGAGTGCCTTCGGAGGAGTCAAGCAGAACCACTCGATAGGTTCGACTGTCTGTCGGGATCAGAGTTAGACGAAGAGATTAGGCAATCCCTGCACAATCATCTAATGAGCCCAAGGCAGAGACGACATCGTTACATACAAAGAATTTGCCCATATTTTTGTAAATATCCATTATATGTGATAGGTTTTTAATATTGGAAACTAATTAATTAGTCAAACATTTATTAAAACAATATCATATTATCTTGCTATATTATCTAAGAATTTTCAAGAAAATAGGAAATAACGTAATGAGATTGTAAAGTTTATACGAGAGTCAAAGCAGAATTACTATCTTACTAAAAAAATATTTATCTGAAGAGACAGTCAATATTTGCCCATCTATATAAATTAGACTTTTCTTCTTTGTTCCCTTCAAAGAAAAGGTTTTTGAGCTATGAGTTAGAGAGTGATGTTAAAGAAAATAAAGGAGTCTTATTGACAATTGTGTGGTATTTTTTGGAGCCACTGGTGAACAATGATGATGAACGAACACTTGTAAGCTTCGATATCACCACTAGTTTCATTTGAGTAAACATTTGGGTGACGTCGAAGGTTAACAAGTGTGCGTTCATCATCAATGTTCACCAATGGCTCCAAACAAACCACAAAATTGTCCATTCAACTCGTTCACAACTTCTTTGGTTTCCTTTTGATCACTCTCTAAACTCATAGCTCAAAACCCTAATCTTCGAAGGGAACATAGAAGAAGAGCCTATTTTATATAGTTGGGAAAATATTGATTGTCTCTTTAAGATAAATATTTATTTTCGGAAGATAGTTAAGACTTTTGCTTTGACTCTCATATAAACTTCACAATCTCATTATGTTATTTCCTATTTTCTCAAAGTTCTTACATAATATAGCAAAATATATAATTTTCCAATCTTAAATATTTAACCCATATAATGGATGTTTCAAAATTACATGCATATTATTTGTTTGTAACGACGTCGTCTCTGCCTTGGGCTCATCAGATGATTTTGCAAGGATGGTCTAATCCCTTCTGGCAGACACCTGAACCTATCGATTGGTTCTGCCTTAATCGTCTGAAGGCACTCGTCAACACGAGTCATGTACTCCCTTCACTGAAGCATGATACATGCCCCCTGCAGAAACAAAAAAAAAAAGTTATCATGAAAGGGAATAAAAGAAAAAATTATGTTAGATTGACTTTAATTTATATTAAATGAAAAGAAAATGAGGTAATATAGATTTCACTAAATTGATCCCATATCAAAATAGAACAAACTTTAGAATGAAAAGAAAATGAGGTAATATAGATTTCACTAAATTGATCCCATATCAAAATAGAACAAACTTTAGAGTGAAAAATATTTTTAAAATATGCAGATATTGAATATTGACTGATTTTGAGTTCTAATTAAAAAACAGTAAACTAATCAAAACTTATGATAAAAAATATAATCAGGGTTTCAGGATTGTACCGAATGACTAGTTTTGACGGTTTGACAAAATTTTGGGTTTAACTTAAATGAGATTCAATCTAAATTTAAAGAAAACTTAAAAAAATTTCAGCATGTATCAGCCGATTGTAGTACAAGTTGACAGATTAGCTTTCTGTTTCTAGGATTATTTATTTTTATCTTTTATTTAGGACCAAAACAAAAGCTAGACATAATGTCGACATATATATATTTTTTTTATAAGAAGAGCAAAAACTAGTTTTGATAAGCATATGTGAATCAAAGGTTTCACACGTCTACTAGAAAGTA